CAGAGCGATTACAATAGGCCTTCGCTGCTTCACTTCTCGGGCCTAAAGCCCCCAGTATGCTGCCGCGTACATACGTGTGAACGGACGTACACGTGTACCTTACGCAGAGGGTTCAGACTTCGTACTCCAGCGTACACCCTGAGCAGCTGCAGAGAAGCTTCACAGACGAGGGGCGTTTACCTTCGAGACAAATTGAGGTCACCGATTGGTCATTTGCTGACACGCCTACTGGATTGATTGACAGGTCGGAAAAAAGAAAAAAAGTGAGTGCTGGCAGCCTCAGCCGCAGCAGTGTTCTGTGTTTATATGTTGTTAATAAAAATATCTATAAAAAAAAACAGGGAGCGCTGGCTCTGCAGCCCACACATCAGACCAGCCCACCAGGAAATCTCCAGACCCTCCCGCAGCCACGCTGGACCTGAGTTTAATTCGCTCGTGACATTCCTTCATTTCTCACCATTTCAGTCATGGCTTCAACAGAGGAGGAAGAGATCACTGCCTCTTGGCAAAAAAACAAAAGAAAAGGCCAGATCAGGGATGAGGAAGGGGAATTTAATACATTGGTTTCACATACAAAACAGTCCATTGTTGGGCATTTTATTGTGCGACACCGCGTACGCATATGCGGTTGTAAAAATTTGAGCTCGTACCTCCGCGTATGTACGTGCGTACCTCTGCGTATGGACGTACGCGGGAGTATACTGGGAGCTTTATAAACAGATCAACTCTGTTCTACAAAAAAGCTTCTTTCAACTAAGTCCGATAGCAAAGCTTAAGTCTGTTCTGTCCAGATCTGACCTTGAAAAACTCGTCCATGCATTTATTACAACCTGGCTGGACTACTGTAACTCATTTTATGTTGGGATTAGTCAGGCTTCACTTTCACGTCTCCAGCTCGTACAAAATGCGGCAGCTAGGCTTTTAACAGGAACTCACAGGTTTGAGCACATTATTCTGGTTCTGTCCTCCCTTCACTGGCTTCCTGTACGTGTCAGAGTTGATTTTAAAATTCTCCTGCTGACATTCAAGTGCATTAACGGCCTTGCACCATCATACCTCTCCGACCATCTTCATCCTTATGCTCCTTCTCGGGCCTTGAGATCATCAGACCAGCTGCTTTTGGCCGTACCAAAAACCAGCTGAAGCTCAGAGGAGATCGAGTATTTTCAGTCGTGGGCCCTAAACTCTGGAACAATCTGTCCAACATTCGACAGGCCACCTCAGTCTCCGCTTTTAAATCTCTCCTATAAACACATTTATACTCACTGACATTTAACACAGGGTGATCGGATTTAGATTTAGTTTTTCATTGATGCTGATTCTTTTTATGCTTTTATTATTCCTATTTAACACAAGGTCATCAGATCTGATTTAGTATTTCATTGTTTCTAATTGTTTTTGGTTTTATATTTTTATTCCATGTGCTGTAAATATATCTTTTTATTTGATGTTGTGATATTTTTTAAGCACTTTGGTAACAGTTTCTGTTTTAAATGTGCTCTATAAATAAATCTGACTTGATAATATGGCCAAAGCACTGGATGATGCCAACTTTATAAGTTTACCCTGCCTGGCACACACACTGCAACTCGTTGTAAATGAGGAACAACTGGTGCAGCATCGCAACAATAGGAAAGAGAATTGTTGGACATTTTATGCCTTTGTCGCTTGCCCATTCCCGACTCTTCGACATAAAAACACAGGTCAGCTGAGGAAACAATTACAAGACATTTCAACAAGGTGGAACAGCACGGTCTATATTCTGCAGTTGCTATTGAAGCAGAGACGTGCTATTAGCGTGTATGTTGTTAAGCACGAGTTGCCAACCACACTCACTGCACACTAGAGGATGACACGGGAGTGGATTTTCACTCCTGTCCCATCACAGTCGCACAGAAAAAATCCTGTCCCATCCCAATCCTGGGCCAGAGTAAAAACAAAGACTCCTGTCCTGTACCACTCCTGGTAACATGACTCCTGCTCCCATCCTGCTCTCATTCAGAATGACTCCCACTCCTCTACCACTCCCATTATTTTCTCTTCCATTTAGTTTTTAAGAAATACACTGAATTTGATTTGATCTTCTACCCATTCCTTTTTATATTACTTTGTGTTTTGCAGTTTTATTTCAAAAGATATTGCAACAGGAACAGTTCATCTGTGGTGAGATAGGGAGGCATTTATTGCCTTAATCCAAACAAAAACCTTTAATAAAGGGCACCAAACAAATAATACATGACCTGTAGTCCCTATTAAAAAAAGGTTTGTAAGCTCAATAATCCAGATAGATAACAACAAAAATGGTTAAATCATGTCGATTTTTAACCAGTACAGGCAAAAGAGAGCACATTACACTAGTTTTGGCCTCACTGCACTGGTTACCAGTTCACTTTCGAATCCAGTTCAAAATACTCATGTATGTCTACAAATCACTGAACAGTGTTCCCCCCCATCTCTCTGATCGGCTACAGCCGTATGTCCCACCACGCTCCCTGAGGTCAGCGGACCAGTTGCTCCTCACAGTTCCAGGAACTCGTCTTAAGCACAGAGGTGACAGGGCCTTCTCTGTAGCAGGACCAAGACTCTAGAACGAGTTACCTCTGTTTGTCAGACAGGCCCCCTCCCTCTCGGTTTTCAAGTCCCGTTTAAAAACTCACTACTATTCTGTAGCTTTCAACACAAGATGATCTGTGTTTTGATCCTGTATGCTCCACACTGGTTTGTCGTCATTATCTGCATCG